AGCGGTCAACGGCAACGGTGGCGATGACGCGGAGGAGGAGGGAGAGGCTTCCAACGGTGGCTCCACTAGCCCCGATGCGGGAGCCGGAAGCGGGAGCGGCGACGGCGGGGGCGGGGGCGGGGATGAGGGTAGTGGTGGGGGGGAGGTGGAGGCGCGACAGCGGGGGGTGCGCAACCGCGGCGGGGCGACCGCGAACAAGCGACCACGTGAGGATAAATTGCTTACTTTTCGGGCACGAGGGAGCGGGATACACGGGCGGCGCGATTGCGCATGTGGGAAGTTTACAGCCGTATCGGGGTGGGGGTGGGGGTGCAGTACGCATGACCGTATGACACAAGATAACACACCCCCTGCACCGATTTTCAAAGCTCGATTACTCCACGACCAAGAGGATGCAGAGACGAAACGATACGTCTTAAGAGAGCTCTCGACCAGACGGCTTCAACGCCGCCGTTTTCGGCCCTGCGACTGTTGCTGCTGTTGAAAAATCGAGCTTTGAAAATCGGTTCAGGGGGTGTGTTATATTGTGTCATATACGGTAGTTTCGTGCTTGTCGTGCTCGTCTTGTCGCTCACCGCGGATCGCACCGCTTTCAAATGGTGAAACGGTGCCTTGTTTCTAGCTGAGACTCAGTTTGAACGGCGCGCGCGCAGGGGGGGGGGGATGGGGATGAGGCACGAGAGAGATACGCAGTGGCGTATGATAGATGCAAATCACTGTGAACTGAGTAGTCGAAGTCGTAGACAGTCATTCTGAAAGGTTGGTTGCCTTGGGCGGCGATAGCAACAGCGGCAACGGCATCAATGAGAGCCAGATAGGATACATGGTAGACAACTTCGCCGGAGATGGGCAAGAAGAGGGGGGAATGAATTCAAGGGGGGGGTCTGCAGAATGTTTTCGAGCAAGAGACACCCTACTCAGAGGCACCTGAACGTGTTGCCATGGTCACATATCCGATCGACTTTTTCTCAGCCACGCCCCCTGCCCCCGTAACCGCGACCCCCCCCCCCCCCCTAATCCTTCCCGCGTGCAGCAAGATCGGTCCATCCGAACCGAGAGTCTAGCGATCGGTGGTTCACGAACACCCACATCGCGATGGTGGGCATCCTGGCCGCGTTGTTCAACGACCTAGAGGAGCGATACTCAACCACTTACGGACAGGTAGGCCGTCCTTGGCGTCGTGGTTCTTGAGGGTGGGGTCGGAAGTGGCACCGGGTGGTGGACGGTTTGGTATCTCGCCGTTATGTCCCACACCAAACCGCGTGTGCGTTGTTGCCGATATAGTCGGACCGGTGGCCGAACGAACCGTATCCCGGACTTGGGGTCTTCCCTAGGGCCTCCGGCGGACAACGACCACAACTGACAAACAGTCTTGGACGACGGGGAGGAGAACGAAGGAGAAACAACGTCACCACAAATGCCCTTGTGGTGATTATTAGTGGTGATTATTAGAGGATCGACCCCAACAACGAACGAAGTGTAGGTTTTTTGGTCTGGGTGTGTATGGTTCAAGTTCGTAAGTTTCTTGACAATCAAGCCCTGAATTTCTTCAGGGATTGGAGACAAGGTGTTTTGGCGCTGGATCTATTTTCATACTTAAATCCAGTGTTGAAAAAGAATGCAACAGCCTCTGAAAACAGTCAGTCCTGCGCCAGAACCCAACATTATCACAGCCGGACCGTAAATCCCTGGACGGAGAGTCGTCAGCAGTAGCTAATGGCATGAGCTACCTGCAGTCAACCCGCAGTTCAGGAGTTTGGGGTCAGTGGCGGCGAGCACAAGCAGGTAAAGACACACAGGGTGTCGGTCTTATTCGCGGAGGTTTGGGGAGATTGTAGGCTGCGACTATGGCCCTGGATATCGCCACCCAAGAAGCAGATTTGAGCGCGCTAACCCCCCCTCCCCCCCCAGCTGCTATAGGATGTCCTCTAGTGATCAGTAGAATGCGTATGAGCGCCTGCTGGCTCCTTTGGCTTAATTTTAGACTGGTATGAATTTTATCTTGATTTCAAAGGAGGCGTGTGGAGGTGGACGCGTGAAATGTATGTTTAGAGCAGCCTCTACTGCTGCCCTGTGCGAGAATTAACGATTTCGGTTTTCCGGGATGCCGTCCGACTGGTCTGGTGTGTCTCGTGTGCATTTCCTGGTGTGATTTCGTTCGTTTTCAAAATCAACCCACATCAACCATTCTTTGTCTGCCACCCCTTAACCATGATACGAATTTGTTTAGTGGTGGCACGCTCTGTATTGAACGAAGAGGCGTTTCTTTGGGACCGAAAGGCCATGTCCTCGATCAAGTCTTGGGAGGCACGGAGGTCTTCTCGACAAATATACGAGAGTTTTCGGACTATTCCGTTTTGCTTTTTTTGTTGGAGGGGGGCTTGTTCTTCGCTGTTTTTCGTCGTGCGGTGTTGTTTTCTTGTCAGCCGTTTTGCTGTCGTGTCCTGCTGCTGATGTTGTGGCCGTTTTCGTCGTCGCTTTCGTTGCTGTTACGTTCCGCGCGCCCATAGTCCCAGCGGCTTCTCTCTGCCAGAGTGAGCCTATATCCTCTCAGCCATCAACCATGCGACAAGCATGAGATGGAGACCGGGACGTGTTTCATACTACATGCCCTCTTGCAACGGCGCCCCTCTTGTCCCCAAGTTTATCTGCTGTCACGCTGTTATCTCTGCCCTCTCCCCCCGCCATCTCTCTTCTCTGTTTCTCCCCCTGTTTGTTTGTTCTCTCTCTCTCATGTCCTCGGACACCCCCCCCCTGCGGCAATCTGTGCACCTCTCTATCCACGACCCCCCTATCCGACGTCTGTTTATTTGTTTTCCAGCCGCCTTGCTCGCTTACCACTGACACCCTCCGCTCTCTCTTTCTGCAAACCATCATCCTCTCACCCAACAACAACTTCTGCGGCGAAGGACCCTGTCGTGGACGATGCCGTGCTGGGCTTCATCCAGCGCATCAAGGACATCGGGCAGGGGATGACGGTCTTCACGGTGTCGAGGCTGCAGACGCACTCGCTTATTTCCAACACTGTGCAGCTGTGGTGAGAAGTAGGGAGGGAGGGCAGGGGGGGGGGGTACTACATGAGGAGGCGGAAAACAACCGCGTAGAAGTAGTTGACAATATATGTTCTTTCTGTCTATTCAAGAGTCGCTTATTTCCAACACCGTGCAGCTGTGGTGATAATGAGGGAGGGACGGCAGGAGGGGGTCTAGAAGGAGCCAGAAAGCACTCTCGCACGAAGGAACTTACTTCATCTTTTTCATAGACAAGACTAGCCCAGCCGAGGGGAGTGGGTCTCCGGCCCGCGTTTAAGGGAGAAAACCGAGCACTTAAAATAGAATACGTGCGACTATGTTTGCGGGTGGTGGTCCAAGACGGACTAAAGGGCGCCCCTTGGCAATTTTGTGCACGGACGAACACGGATGCTTTCCGCTGCGATTGGTCTTTCGAGCGTCCCTTATTCAGTGATTTTCTTCCCTTCTTCTGATGGATATTTGGGTGAAATATGCATACCACATATCGTTTGTACCTGCATCAAAAGAACCACCACCAGCAGCAGCAGCAGCAGCAGCAGCAGCAGCAGCAGCAGCAACAGACACGTCCGGGAATGGTGGATTAGAACACCACGGAAGCGATAGACAGCCCGCCGACCATAACCTGCGAAGAAAATGGCACACATGTGTGCAAGTAGGTTTCCAATACACATCTACAGCCAGGTTGGGAAACAATATTGTGTTTTTGATGCTGCTGCTTCGAGGGGCATGCACAACTTGCCGGCCAACTCTTCGCCCTCCACCCTCTTGCTCTCTCTCCCCTGCACCACTCACCCCGTTTGTTCTGTTGCCCTCGTTGCTTTCGCTCTCCCTCTGTTGGCTACTCGCCTTCTCAACACCGTGTTCACGTCCAATGATGGAAACGAAACCGGGCGGTCGGTGTCCGACACGGTTTTTGATGCTCTGCCGCGGTTACATGGGGCGGGGCTGTTTGTTTTCCATCCGACGATGATTCGGACGGACCGCGACTTTTACGACGGGTGGCCGGTTGTTCGGGGTCTTCAGCCACCGTATGGCGGGGGACCAGCACAGCCAATTGGCGAAGGTACGGGAAAGTGTCCGCTTGGCCGGGTTCGGGGGGGGGGGGGGTACCCGGATGTTTTTCTCCCTTTGGGGGGGGGGGGGGGGGGGCCCGCCCCCCCCTTTTGGGTTTCCCAAACCGCCGGGGTTCCGGGGGGGTTCCCCGGCCCCGTTTTTTTTTTTTTAATTTTTGGGGCCCCGGCCCCCCCGTTTTTTTGGGAAACAACCCCCCTGGCCCAGGGCCTTTTTGCCCCCCCCCCTTGGGGGAAACGGTTTTTTTTTTTCTGGGCCCCTTATTTTTGGGGGGTTTCT